GTGATGATATCTGTTATTATCTCATCACTGCGAAGTCGAAGGGTTGATCTGGGCAAGGTGATCATAACTGTTAATCCCATATGTGATAGATCATCGCCAAACTCATCCTGTGGAACGGAGTCAGCTCATACAGCCGTAATGGAATAGTAGATGATGACATAAGCTGAAGTTCTTAGAGCCATTAATAACTGTTGTTAATTTCAGGTTTTGATAGTGATTGGTATTATTGTACCACCACTGTTAGCCGTCTTGACCACATTCGGTATAATGGGACTGGCACATATTGAAATATATCCCATTCAAATGGTCATTCCATTCCTCATACTTGCTATCGGTTTGTTCTTGTCATATATTGCGTTTTCTTTTCAATCCACAGTGTTAAATCCATGAGGAGACGATTGCTCTCATGTAAAGATATGCGATAGATGACAACAAGATGCATACTAGTATTGCTTGGATTTAATATCAATCGTTAGAATGTCAGCCTCTTGTCAATCAACGTTATGAGATGGCGATTATCAAGACGAATGGAGTGCTGTGGGTAAGCAGGAAAGGTTTTAATGAAATCAGGCTCTATTCAGGTGTTGATGATGCTTTCTTGATGTTACACGCATGGAATCGACTGGCTCCAGCTTACGATCACTTGAATGGTGACGAGCGATTTCGTATGATACCAACTATGTTTGGTAAAGTTTTGGAGGAGGTTCGTTCATCGTTTGTGATTGCGATCAGTTCATCGTTGCTTTTCAATGCTCATAAGCAAATTCAGTGTCTTTCGCTGATTGGATTTGATATTTGATTCACGGCAATGCTCAAGCATTCGCTATAAGCATTCAGTTCAACTTTAAGGTTGGTCCATCGATAACGATCACCTCGCTGACGAACGCAATTGCGTTTGGTATTGGTACCACTGTCTCAACGCCAGCAATTCAGGTTCTGAGAGGCGATTATTTGGTTTTCGACTGTTCTGATGAAAATGATGCAAAGCCTTCTCCAGTTTCAATTCATTGCGAAAAATTTCTTTGTTATACTGGCAATGAGAAATTTGGCGATAGAAGCGATGTTAACTTGTTTATTAAGATAAGTATATTGGTAAAATAATCAATATTCTCAAGTGATTTCAGTTATTCTGTATGGCTGCAACAATAGCGATGGTTATGGATTTCATCTTCGAGTTGACGCTCTTCGGCGCATTACTTTCGTTGGCTGCACGTCTTGAGAAGGTTTGTCAGGTGAGCGAAAACGATCCAGGCGTTCTCGATCAACCGCGAACAGAATCGATCGTTCTCATTGTGATCTTATTGAGATCGATGAAATATAATGCGACTTTATAAGACTAGTTATTGATAGCTCTCGTTGAAGTGCTTGCTTATG